TGGTTTGTTTCCATGAGTTGGCCTGTTTCTTCAACGGTTCGCTCGGGATACGACCCATTGAGCTACTTTTCTGCTCTGTTGTTGGACGGAGTAGGATGAACCTGTGTAGCCCTACCTGTTAGGCTACTTTTTAGTGTCTTGCACGTGCGCCATGGGAGTTTGTTTTGGTTCCGGGCGGTGTGCACTCATGCTGGTGTTCTGTGTCCTTTTTTTTTATCTTGGGGGCTTCGCCTCTCGCTCTTGTCATTCTCCAATCTGTGCCCCATTGCTCTTGGAGGTGTTCTGGAATGCCGCTGTGGGGAAGTCACGAGGTTTTTCCCTGCGTTTTTGGGTGGGGGGAGCCTCCTTCGCCGCTCCCCTCCTCCTCTCCGGCATGAGCGCCCTGGCCGCCTCCGGCGGCTATGTTCTCATAGGCTTGCGTCATGGCCCTTCGCGCCTATGTTCTGCAGGTGAGTTGGTGCGGTCTGGCGTCTTCTTCGTCCTGACACTGTTTTTGTTTTTGGGAGTAGGAATGGGCGTACGTACGTACTTGAGAATGTAGAACAAAATAATAAAAAATAAAAAAAAATACACCGAGGTGCCTGCTGCAGGGCTCTTGGCCCATATGTGGCGGCTTTTGTTCTCACCACCCGATTCCTTCCTCGCATCACAAGTGACTGCAGGAGGCCTCTTGGCCCATACGAGGCGGCTCCTGCCTGAACTCATCCTGCCCCTCTCCTATGCTTGTCTTACCATGCTTGAGTTCGGGGCCCCGTCTCCACCTTGTTCCACGGTGCACCGGTGGAGGTGCCTGTTCGGTGGTACGTTTTCCTGTGTCGAGGGTGTTCTGTGCTCGCCTCATTGTGCTCGCCTAATTGTGCTTGCGGGGTTGGGCTCTGGCTCTTTGGTCCTGCCTCTCACCTGTTGTTCGCCTGATGTGCAGATTCTGTGCCTCATGGGCTCTCTTGTCTCTACACTTGGGGCTGTGTATGCGGTCAGCCTGGGTGTGGGCTGCCTACTGTGTTCCTTCGATTGCCTGTTACACTGCACACGTTTCTTCTCGCGTCCTTGTGGCTCGGTTGGGTACTCGGTTTCCACCTGTGTCCCCTTGTTGTGTACCACTCGTGTTCCAGTTTATCTTTATCTTCCCTGTCGCTTCCTCTGGGAGTGTAATTACCTAAGTGTAGTTACAGGATGAGAGCTACGCTCGTGGTGTCCCGTCTTTCCAGCACTCTGTCATATAACACTTTGAAACTACTGACGGTCTTGGCCTCCACCACCTTCTCGCCTAACTTGTTCCAACCGTCTACCACTGTTTGCGAAAGTGAATTTTCTTATATTTCTTCGGCATCTGTGTTTAGCTAGTTTAAATCTATGGCCTCTTGTTCTTAAAGTTCCAGGTCTCAAGAAATCTTCCCTATCGATTTTATCAATTCCTGTTACTAGTGTGGTGACGCATTGCTGCAGTTTTGATGCTGCGGCTGCGTGTAGGGGTCTGGTTGTGGCGGTTTGTTTGGCCCTTCCGTGCTCCTTCTAGCGCCTTCCTTGTTGGGGTTTTTTGTTCCCTTGCTTTTTTGGGACCCAATTTCCTTGCCAGTCTTGCTGTGCCAGTCCTGATTTTTTCCATGTTACTTGGATTCTCTGTCCTAACCTCGTTGTCCTTGCCTCGTTGTGCTGGCTGAGGATGAGTTTGGGCTCTTCGTCTCGCCCCTGGCTTATTATTCACTTTCTGTTCCAGCTCAGGAGCCTATTGGGCTCTTCTCTGCACTGGACGCTGGGTGTGGGGTTGGCCTCTGCCACTTCCCTTCCTAATGCATTCTTCTCGTCTTCCTGCTTCACTCTTGTTCCTGGCCGCTGGTGCTGGGGCGTTTCTGCTAGTCTTTTTATCATTCCTTCTTCACACTGTTGTGTGTTTTGTTTGTGCCTTTTGGCCTTCTTTGGTTGCCAGGTTTGCTTTCCTGTTTTCCTGGCTTGCCCTGCCTGTTGGTTTTTTCAGGGTCTTGCGATGTGCCTTCTCTGGTGTCTCACGTCGGACCCGTGGTTTCCGTCCCCTTGGTGAGCTTGCTCGTGTTGGGGAGTTTTCTGTTCGGCGGGCGTTCCATCTCCTTCTTGCCGGTTTGGGCTTCTGGCTCTGCTTCTTTAGTGGTCGCACCCGAGATCTTCCTGCGGCTCCGCCTCTTCCTAGGCTCGGGTGACCCTTGGCAGGGCTGATTACATTCTGCCTCAGGGATCTCGCGTCCATTGGTGGTTAGGTGGCTTCTTTGTTGGTGTCCCACCTGTGTGCTTCTTGGCGGCAGTATGGGGTGTTTTGGCGGTCCTTCCTTTTCCTTCTGTCCTTTCTTCGGTGGCTGCGTTTGTTGGCATCAGCTTGGCTTTTCTGCTGGAGGTTGTGGGCTGTCGACTTGCTGCATACTGTCGCCTCGTTTTATGCGGCGCTGGCGGAGCCGCTTCGGCTTGCTTTCGGATTTTCCTCTGCGCTGTTTGTAAGCTGTCTCATGCTTGTTTCACCTCCGGCCTGTTCTTGTGCCGCTTGAGCTGTCCTGGTAATTGGACAGAGTGCTCTTTTCTTTCTTCTCGTTTTCTTGTGGCCCCTTCGGTTCCGGTTTGTTTTTCGATGGCTCTTTTCCGGTTGGCATTGGCCTCTGGGGGTCGGGTAGGTGAGCTTGATGCTCTCCTCCTGCGCAGAGGTTTTCTGCTCCTTCAGTTGAGGTGTTCGGTTTGGTCGTCTGCTGCCTTCTTCTTTTCTGGAGACTGATGAGACTGCTGCTTTCCAGAGGGGTCCATGGGTTGTTGATGCTTGGTTGGTTGGGCCGGGGGTGTATTTGTTTTTGTCCGGTTGCGGCTCTCTGCCGTGGTTGGCACGCCACGGCTTCTGGGTCCATGGACGCGATTTGGGTTGCTCCAGTTCCCTTCTTCCCTGTTAGAGGATGCGGGTCTCCCAGGTCGTCCGCGGGGTTCTTCAGGCTCTCCTGCCTGCGGTCTATCTCCGTGCCCATGACGTCCGCAAGTTCGCGGCTCTTGCTGCTGTCTTTGGTACTGTGTCCTGGGAGGATGTTCGGGCACGGGGATTTTGGCGGTTGAACAGGATCCTTGGCTGTTCGTTACCTTGTACACGTCCCTGGGCCCAGTTGGGCCGGTGTCGCTTTGGGATGGCGGATGCAGCCTGTTGTCTCGACTTCGGATTGTGTAGTGTGCGGCGACCGTCTCCCGGGTCAGTCCCTATTCTTTTCTTCTGTGGGTAGTCGGCTCCGGGGAGCCGTAGGGGCTCCCCCCAGAAAACCAGCGTTGAATGTAATGAAACGCCATATTCTGGGTGAGTCCCAGAGGCTCCCCGGCATCCCTCCCTCCCTCCGGTCGGCGGTTTTTCGCGTGTTTTTGACATCCAGCCTCAGAACTGGGGGTGTGGATCGCCGGCACGGTAGGTCTGGGGCTCCCCCTTCCCCCTCCCGGGGAGGGGGGGGGCTGCGCAGACAGCGGCGCGATGACGAATGACGTCATACTAGTTTGCTCATTTTTGTTTAGGGAGTTCTATCCACTCGTTCGGGTTTTGGTTGCAATTTTCACCAGAATAGGGGTTTGTTTTGGGACACCTACCTTTCTGGGTGCCTAACCCGGTCGATGGCAGACATAGAATGCTTCCAACCACATGGGGGTTTCTATAGGCCATTGCTCCCCTTGCCTCTCTGAGGGGGCCAGGTTCTGGCTCGTGGTCCCCGGTAGGCCCATAAGAACTCCGTACTCATGACTGATGCCAAAGTCTGACATTAGCATATCAGCCGGGTAAGCTCCGGGGAGCCTCAGGGACTCACTCAGAAAATGGCGTTTCATTACATTCAACGCTGGTTTTTTTGTAATTGGAAAGTTCTTGGATATTAACACTTTCGCGTTCTCTGGGATGGTAAAAAAAAAAGCGGTATGTGCGCGGAGCGTTTTTGCTGCGTAAGCGTAAAAACAAAAATGTGAATACTCTTTTTACTTTCCTTACCTTAGTTCTCGAGCTACGTATTTCATTTTGGTACCAACGTGTTCGCAATAAAATTCTCTAGAAGAACATCAGTAAAAAAGGTCACGAAACGTATAGGGATACCAGCACCAAATAACTACGAAGATGACTCGCCGTGAGCGCCCAACAGCAACAAAATGTTTTTACTCTTGGGATTGTTATCACCTCCACACTTGTCCTACAGCGTTAATTTTGGTATCAATGGACTCACAATGAAATTCCCAACACGGTGATATGAATATAAGGGTAGAATAATGATTGCAGCCCGCCCGCAAGAGTGTGGGAAGTGGTGAAATTGTTACCCGGTATCGGTGACGGGACGACACACGGCGCTTTGAAAGTTTATACTTATTTCACTCTCATGACATTAATTTTCTATGTACGTCATTCATTTTTGTGTCAATGTGTTCGCAATAGAATGTTCTATGAGCCCATAGGTAAAAAAGATCAACAAAGCGTAAGATAGAATAGCGCCAAATATAAAACAACGCTGGAACATATCAGTGAGCGTCAAACACACACGAAATGTTTTTACTTTTGTTATGTTTGTCAAGTTTATACTTGTTGCAGTTATTTTTGGTTGTACATTGATCGGAATAAAATTCCCTAAACAGACATATGCATATAATATATGATATGGGGGAAGCATTACCAGTATAAACGGCTAAAGTCACCCACCTGCAACCCGTTTGGGACATAATACCATTTGATCGAAGTGGTCCACACCTTTGATGAACTTATTGTACCATGCAGCCTAGTGGTGAGAAAGAGAGCCTCATGGCGCGCAGTTTGAAACAAACCCAAAGTAAATCGGATAAAAATTGAATTTTATACAAATATTTTAAAAAGAGGACATGACTTTATGTCCACTATGCGCGAGCGGTTAGGGAAACAGGACTCCTCGGTGAGTCCGGTTAGCGCGAAAGTGTTAAGATTATTTGTCGCCATAATTTGTTTATCATGTAATAACTAAATGTTTAGTGCTATGTTACTGTAATTAAAAGATTTTATTTTACAGATTGTAGCCAGATCCGTATGTGAAACCTTGGATGCCCTAGAAGATAAGAAGCGGCATCTCCTATTCACTCTCCTTCACTATACAAAATGTACGGTATTCTGCGAGGTTCTTCAGCCCTTACATCAACATATAGTTAACATCAGCCATCTTGATCAACCACAAATCAGTGTAATCTCATTTACATCTACTGCAACCACAGGGACAGAGACAAGCCTCACTGCGATACCTCCTCACCTTGCCCTGGATTTATCTGTATCTCTAGGATTGTCATCCACTACCTACAGTGTCATATCACCTCAGGAAGTTTTTGAGCGCAGAAATATGGTAAGTTTCGTTATGAAGTAAGCTAAATTTCTTAAGCATAGCCCCAATAGTCTCTCCCAAGTTAAGTCCTGTTCCCCGCCCAGGGCACCACATTCATTTTGGGCTTTGCTTACCTATTGCCCCACAGTGACAAGTAACTTTCTGGAGGGTTGGATTGTGGCTTCCTGTTGCTAGCTGCACTGAGACAAGTAACTTTCTGGAGGGTCAGATGGTGGCTTCCTGTTGCTAGCTGCACTGAGACAAGTAACTTTCTGGAGGGTCAGATTGTGGCTTCCTGTTGCTAGCTGCACTGAGACAAGTAACTTTCTGGAGGGTCAGATTGTGGCTTCCTGTTGCTAGCTGCACTGAGACAAGTAACTTTCTGGAGTGTCAGATGGTGGCTTCCTGTTGCTAGCTGCACTGCACTGCACATCCACACCTATAAATCACATCAGCCCTTGCGAGTCATTAAAAGCCTACCTGAGACTAGAGTTCAAAACCTGCCCCCCTACCTCCTCAGAGGTGCAGAGAGTTGGAAATTCATGTTCACCCTCACCAAATAATCAAACCTAAAAGGAAGTGAAGCTAAATGGACAACTGCAACTATTGTAGCTATTAAACATTATAGCAAATGAGTCAGGAAAAAATCCCGCCAGTAGTTAGATCATACATCCCTAGTTACTGGTGCCCATCACCAGGTACCAGCACTAATGGAGCAGCTGGCTCTCATGTCAATAGCTGTTAGTCATTCACATGATATCCGACTTGTCTGACCAGTCCTTGAGTCACCAGCTCTCTGGGTCCCTGATATTCTAGATCGGTGATGGCAGTTTTTCTGGGGGGAGCCCCGTCGGCTCCCCGGAGCTATCCAGGCTGAATGGATATGTATAACTTTCTGACATCAGTCAAAGTGCTAGGAGTTCTTGCCTACCGGGGATCACGAGCCAGAACCTGGCCCCCTCAGAGAGGCATGAGGAGCAATGGCCTATAGAAACCCCCTTGTAATTGGGAGCATTCTATGTCTGCCATCGACTGGGACAGGCACCCAGAAAGGTAGGCGCCCCAAAACAAACCCCTTTTCTGGTGAAATTATTGCTACCAAAAGCCGAACGAGTGGACAAAACTCCCCAAACAAAATTATCAAACTAGCATGACGTCATCACGTCGCTGCGCCACCGTCTGCGCAACCCCCCCTCCCCGAGAGGGGGAAGGGGGAGCCCCAGACCCTCCACGCCGGCAATCCAACTGGCAGTTCTTGGCTGATGGTATTACTGGCTGGTTGAGTGCCTCTGGCTCTGGTTTTTGTTTCAGTTCTGTGCCTTGTGGTGTGGACTGTCTCTACCAGTGGGGTGTGAGCCAGGAGTAAGATTCCACGGTACTCGGGCTGCATGTGCCTAGGGCTCTCTTCCCTAGGTGCCCTGTAAGTACTGCCCTTAGGGCTTTGGGCCACCTTCCACAAGTCACCTTGGGTTCTACCTCCGCTGTGTCCTTTACTGCTCGGTACTGGGCCGCCCTTGGAGTCGGCTGGGGTTTTGTTGCCGTGGTTTGTCTGTGTAGGTGGTGGTTTTCGTCACTGGTAGAGCTGCAGGTACTGCACAGCTAGTTTTCACCATTAACAGCGGCCGGCTCTGTTCCGCCTGGGTACGTTGTCCTCTTGCGGGGTTTTTCTTTTATTTTTGCTTGGTGGGGGGTCTGCCTTTACTATGGTGTCCCCTTCCTGTTCTAGGCGAATTTCTTTCGAATTATTCTGTTGGCGTTACTCCCCGCTTGGCCCCAGTGAGTGGACACGTCCCGGGGGTTCAGCTTTAGCAATTTGTTGGTAGATTTGGGTGCCGGTTTGCGGTTCCCTGCCTGGGCTTCCCTTAGCGTGTACCAAAGGCTAAAGGCCCTGGGAAACCCCACGGGGGCTCTGTGGTCCTCTAGGTGTGTCCCCGCAGTTCCCCCTCGCGTCCTGCGAGTTTGACGGTTGATCTGTCCCCTTGTCTCAGGGTGACACTCACCAGTTGTGCCTCCACCATGCTGCCTGTTGGGTCTTTGTTCTTGTGACCCCGGAGTCGTCCGATGATTGTTGTCAGTACGCGCTCTCCTTCACCCACTGGTCTTGATAATCGGGTGCAGGCGGCTGTGGTGTTGCTTGCTGGGTGCATGTTGCTGCAATGCTTTTGGTTGTTTGCGGCCCAGATGCCCCGAGGCTGCCCCGTTTTGGTGGTTGGGGTCTGGACTTGGGGGTGGGGGTCGCTTCGGCTCTGGCTCCTTCCGCTTCTTGTTCTTCCCCTTGTGTTCTACTCACTTCCTCCCTTGCTTCCTGCTCCGAACCATAGGCGGGTTTCAGGGTTTGGGCGGGGTCTGGTTGGGTTGAGACTCGGGCGGTCTCGGGGGTTTTCCTCTTCCAGGGTGGTGGCGGAGGCATTCGAGTCAGTTCCTCCAGCCGTGCTGTATGGGTCTGACCATTGGGCTCCCTTCATTAGTGATTGCACGGCTGCCCCGGCTTTTCCTTGTTAAGCTGGGGCTCTGGGGGTGCGGCTCGGCCCTGGGTCATGCCGTAGAGGTTCCTGGGGTTAGGGAGGGGTTGCCTGGGGGGCCTCGGCCCCGTTTGCCCCTCTTGGGTCTTTGTACCTTTGGTGTGGGGCTGGCAGTTCCTCAGTGGGGTTGTTCCTTCCCTCTGTGTTCCTGTTGTTTTCGGGTATACCCCTCCCTGGGTTCGGTTCCGTGTTCCTTCGGGTTCGTCGGTCCCGTCGTTCCTGGGGGTGTGTTTCACCCCCTTTTCCTTACCCTTTTCGCTCTTATGTCGCGATGCTGTTCACAAAAAAAAAAAAAAAATTGTGTTCAGGTAAGGTACATCCATACAAGGTGTGAAACAAACATTGATGGATTTGTATATTGACCTAGTACATAGTGCCTAAACCGCTTTGTATCGTTGTCCCTGCATGTTCCTTGGTCTGGGGTGCTTGTCGTGGTTCTTGTTGGTTCGCGAGTCTCTTCGTACCTTCCAATATTATTGGAACGTCTGTTAATTTGCGATGTGGTTTCCCTCGGGTCTTTTGTCGGCCTTGTTGGTTCCCTTCCATCATCTGTTTTCTTTTGCTTCGTTTTCGCTTTGTTTTGTTTTCGTCGTCTCTACTTCCAGTTTCAGCGTTCTTTGTCTTCGTTCCGCACGCCTTCCTGGTGTTTGTACGATGTCTATACATTGTGTGTACGATTTGTGTGTCCGCCTGGTGTATAAGCCACGCCTCCTAGTGGATGGGTGGTGCGTTTCGTACCTCGTGTGCTGGGGCCGCGGTGTGCGTTTTGTTTACGGGCGGTATGCTCGTGTGTTCGCGTCGCTTCTCGTGATTTTCTACTACTTAATGCTCGTTTCTCCCTCCAGTCATGGCCCTCTGGTTGCTGAGGGTGTTTTGGATTTATATCTGGGGGTGTCACTCTGTACTGCTTCGTCTTCTGCAGGGCGCGCGCCTCTCGCCGTATTTCTCCTTCGACTTCGCATTTTATTCAGGTAACGGTACATACTATGCCTACTGCCTCGAGTATGCATGGCTTTCGGGCACACCTTTAGCGCTGCTCCTAGTATGTTACTTGTTTCGCCTGTGTTGTGGCATGGTCGTGTGTCTGCTCTGCAGGTGAGGTTGTCTTGTCTGGCGCTTCTGTCGGCCTAGTGCTGGTTCTCACTTTTGGTGGGGTGCTTGCCTAGTTGTGCTTGCGGGGGTTGAGCTCTGACTCTTGGGCCCCACTTCTGTCAGTTGACGGTTGTGCAGTTTCCTGAGCCTTCTGGGCTCTGTCTTCATGTTTGCTCCTGTGGGTGGCGTCTGCCTCCTCCACATGGCTTTTTGGTGCTTTTCACTTCCTTTCCCCTCTGACGTTAATCAGGTTCTTTTTAGTGTCTGTGGCTCCTTTGGGTGTTCACTACCTCCTGTGTCCCCTTGTGCATACAAACATAAGGACATAAGTACATTGGACCTGCGGAGGGTCTATTGGCCCGTGCGAGGCAGCTACTGTTTCTTACCATCCATTCCCACTCACATACATGTCCAACCCGCCCTTGCACCAATCGTGGGGCCCCACCACCACGTTACGTGGTAATTGGTTCCGCGCATCACCGGGCCTATTACAGTGCAGGTCATTTCCTCCGATTTTTCCTGATTCTGCGCTTATCCCTTTTATGCCCATTGTTTCGTGCCCACAATGTGCCGCAAGGGTGGCGTGTGCCACTATCCCAGTTTCTATTGTTTTGTGGAGATTGGTCAATAAACACAAACACTAAAGAACTACTTATCTTTTGTTGCGTATTCAGTAGTTGCGGGTGATATTTTGGCGGGCAATGGTGCGGGTTGGGCGCTCAGAGTGTCGGTACGGTGTCTTGCATGTCTGTTCTAGACCACACTTGCCGGTAGACTAGTTATTATTTGCTACTCTTCTGGTTATATGCTTGGGCGCCGCCTCACAGTTCTCCACAGGTTGGCAGGACTTTTCCTTGGACGTACGGAACAGTTTGAGTTCCATCGTTGGTACTTTGTAGAGCTTTGCTTCTCTAGTTAGGCTCATGCGTTTGGAGCGAGTATCTTCTTGGGATACTCTACTCCCTCCGCCACCCTTGTTCACTGTTCCATCCTTGTTTACTCTTCCCCGCTTGGCGGGATTGCGTCGATGGCTCCTGACTGGGGTGTTTGGTGTGGTGTTTGGTCACCTTGCATGTGTCTTTAGTGCCTTTTCTGTGGGAGCCTCCGGGGCTCACCCAGAAAATGGCGTTTCATTACATTCAACGCTGGTTTTTTGTCCATCTGTTGTCCTGTGGGGCTCTGGCCCACATTTCGGTGCTTTTGTTTTCGTTGTAGACCCCTGGGTCTTTTCCCTGTCTGGACACTTTCCTTGCCTATCTTCGGTGCCTGACTGCACCCTCACATAGCCGAGGGAGAAATCATCTCAAGAACCTCAAGATAACCCTGCTGTCCGTAAGGTCACTCAGGTATGTACGCGTTCCTCTACACATTTTGTGGTTGGTCGTGTGCATTACTTCCCGGCCGCTC